TGAAACTACATGGAAACTGGGGGGATTAAAGATGCGCCAAAAAGGTTTTTTCACTGCAGCTTCCTTCTCTGGCAGAGAAGCCTTGGTGAATAGCTGTAATCACTGCGTATTCTTGTCTGAACAGATAAGGAATCCTTTAGCCAGATTCATGATTCAGTTCTTAAGCTGGATTGTGTTTTGTTTGGCTCTTTTGAAAGAGATTTCGTGAGGTACTTCTACCACTAAAGCTCTTTCCAAAGTTACTTTCTTAATGTTACTTATCTGTAAGTAAAGTACTTACATTACTTATGGACAGTTAAACATGTGCAAACATGGGAAGCCTGGGCAGCAACTGGAAAGATCTATTCTCTGTCTGCCTTTGCTCTGCATGTGGACAGCTGCAGCTGTCTCTTTCAAGCCATGAACCCTTCTCCTCACTCTTCTTCCAGGGGCGTACTCACATATTCAAGATACATGCTCGTTCGATGAGTGTTGAGAGAGACATCAGGTTTGAGCTGTTGGCTCGGCTGTGTCCCAACAGCACAGGTAAGATGATTAATGTTTTATAAACAAGTTTGGGCTTCACCTTCACTGTGGTCAGTGTTGGATTGGTTTATCCCTGTCTTCGCAGGTGCGGAGATCCGCAGTGTCTGCACAGAGGCAGGCATGTTTGCTATCCGAGCCCGCCGGAAAATTGCCACAGAGAAAGACTTCTTGGAGGCAGTGAACAAAGTCATTAAATCCTACGCGAAGTTCAGCGCTACCCCCCGCTACATGACCTACAACTAATCCTTTGGAATGTCTTTCCTGTTCTTATAGTTAAACTTTCTGGGGAACCCAAATCCAAGTGTAGGAATCTCTGTCTTGTTCTTGGAAGCTGGAAATAAATGGTAAAATGGTAGCTGTGAATCCACTGTGAGCGTGTCTTACGCTAGGGGAGAATTGATGCTGTAGGAAAACAGCTCAGGGAGATTCCAGTGACATGGTCTAAGATAGTGAAGTATTTTTAAATTGGGCACCTGGGCAATGTTAGAAATCCACAGTTTACGATTTATACCCCAAAACTGACCATCCAAGCTGTGGAGGTGCTGAAAGATCCCCAAGTGGCTGCAGGGTTTCTGGATGTGCTCAGAAACATGGGTGCAATGCTTTGCATTTAGGTATAAGGATGTCCCAAGGAAACTTGCGAACTACCACGGGAAAAGAGCTGAGGAGAAGGGACATGCAGTGCCTCATGGTCTGAGTCATAACCCAGCTTAGGGAAGATGTGAAGGGATATTTTTTTCTCTCCTGGGTGGATGTGCACAAGTCCTTGGGTCCTGATGAAATCCATCTGCGGGTCCTGAAGGAGCTGGCAAATGAAGTTGCTAAACTGCTGTCCATCACATTTGAAAAATCATGGCAGTCAGGTGAAGTTCCCAACGACTGGAAAAAGGGAAATACAACCTCCATTTTCAGTAAGGGGAAAATGGATGACCCGGGGAATTACAGACCAGTCAGTCTCACCTCTGTGCCTGGCAAAATCTTGGAGCAGATTCTCCTGGAAGGCATGCTAAGGCACATGAAAAACAGCAAGGTGCTTGGTGACAGCCAGTATGGCTTCACTAAGGGGAAATCCTGCCTGACCAATTTGGTGGCCTTTCATGATGGGGTTACAGAACTGATGGACAGGGGTAGAGCAGTTGATGTCATCTACCTGGACTTGTGCAATGTGTTTGACGCTGTCCCACACGACATTCTTGTCTCTAAATTAGAGAGACATCAGTTTGATGAATGGACCACTCGGTGGATAAAGAACTGGCTGGATGGCTGCACACAAAGAGTTGTGGTCAATGGCTCAATGTCCAGGTGGAGACCAGTAACGAGTGGTGTCCCTCAGGGATCAGTGGTGGGACTGGTCTTGTTCAACATCTTTGTTGGTGACATGGACAGTGGGATTGAGTGCGCCCTCAGCAAGTTTGCCGATGACACCAAGCTGTGTGGTTCGGTTGATACGCTGGAGGGAAGGAATGCCATCCAGAGGGACCCTGACAGGCTTGTGAGGTGGGCTGATGCCAACCTCATGAAGTTTAACCATGACAACTGCAAGGTCCTACACCTGGGTTGGAGCAATCCCAGGCACAGCTACAGGGTGGGCAAAGAAGAGATTCAGAGCAGCCCTGCGGAGAAGGACTTCGGGGTGTTGGTTGATGAGAAACTGAACATGAGCCGGCTTCAGTGTGCGTTTGCAGCCCAGAAAGCCAACCGTATCCTGGGCTGCATCAAAAGGAGGGTGACCAGCAGGTCGAAGGAGGTGATCCTGCCCCTCTACTCTGCTCTCCTGAGACCTCACCTGGAGTATTGTGTGCAGTTCTGGTGTCCTCAACATAAAAAGGACATGGATCTGTTGGAACAAGTCCAAAGGAGGGCCACGAGGATGATCGGGGGACTGGAGCACCTCCCACATGAAGATAGGCTGAGAAAGTTGGGGCTGTTCAGCCTGGAGAAGAGAAGGCTGTGTGGAGACCTCATAGCAGCCTTCCAGTATCTGAAGGGGCCTATAGGGCCATCCCTATAGGGGATGGACTCTTCATTAGGGACTGTAGTGACAGGACAAAGGGTAATGGGTTAAAATTTAAACAGGGGAAGTTTAGATTGGAAATAAGGAGGAAATCCTTTCCTGTTAGGGTGGTGAGGCACTGGAATAGGTTGCCCAGGGAGGTTGTGAATGCTCCATCCCTGGCAGTGTTCAAGGCCAGGTTGGATGAGGCCTTGAGTGATATGGTTTAGAGCGAGGTGCCCCTGCCCATGGCAGGGGGGTTTGGAACTTGATGATCTTAAGGTCCTTTCCAACCCTAACTATTCTATGATTCTATGTGCTGGTACCATCATAACTTGTTTGTTTTTTTAATTCAGCGGTTTTCTTCATCCCTTTTACTGAGTTTCCCTATTACAAAATAGTAGGTGGGTCAAGGAGGAGGAAGAAGCGTAATTTCTTAGTTCTAAGCGAAGATTCCTTTATTTGGTTCCTGCTCTTAAAAGGATTCAAGTTGATAAAGTTTTTGGTAAGAACAGTCTGGGGTGGAATGCAGGTTCATTGATGAGACAGACTTTTTCTTGTCCAGCCTGAGCAGGAGTGGTGTTTCAGGAAGTTTCTGACTGGTTCAGAAAGCAGCAGAGGGCACCTCTCTTTACCAAGAGCAGTACTTGAAATTCAGTGTTACTTTTTACTTCTGCAGCTCTTGGTGACAGTTCTCTGAACTTCACAAACTTGAGTTCGCGAGCTCTGAGACATCCCACTCAGGGAGATGCTGGTCACAGCCTGCTGTGGTCCAGGAGAGCTCAAATGGCCTCACTTAAGACAACTCTTTATTGGGTCACAAGATGATTGGCTTTAATCATCAGTAAATTTCCATCCTGCCCACAACCCGAGTCGGTAATTACTAGTTCCAGTAACAGTGTACCATTCTAGTCTGGCTACAAGCAAGGTGAGGAATCTTCCAAGGCTTTTGAGGGATAACTGATGGATTGATTATTCCTTAGCCAGGCAGCAGGAGTCCCTGCTCTGGTCAGTACTGTTCCCTCCTTAACCATGCAAAAGTGCCTGGTGCAGCCAAGGGACACTTCACTGCCCAAGTAATGTAAGAAAGGCCAAGGCCTGACAAGGATTCCTGAGATGGCAGAGCTGCCCTGGGCAGAGTGGGGGGCATGCATCACCACAGCCAGTCAATGCAGACAAACTGGAGGGAAGAAGATGAACCCTGTTCAGAGGTTACAGGATGTGCTGACAAGCCTCAGGTAAGATTTAGATAGCAGTCTGTTAATCAGTATGCGAAAGAGGAAGTCAGTTCACTCTGCAGTAGATAACTGGCTGGCAAGGGGGAAGCAGTGCTTCAGCTGGTGGCAGCAAAGCACAGGAGGAGGCAGTACCCAGAAACAGGTTGCAGAGTTCCAGCACCACCCAGCCTGGGATCTAGGACTTCCGAGCAAAGGTTTCCAGTCCAGCATCTCAGCAATTCCCAGGAAGAGCTGCTCCTGTTATGAGGGTGGGAAATGCAGCATCAGTTGTACCTTGTACCACTGTAAGGTCTGGCATGGATATGGCTTCCTGGGGTGGGGGAGCAAAGAAGGCGAGGAGCAGGAACCTGAGCCAGACACACACCTCCAGGGACCTTGGCTTGTCCCACAGACAGTCTTCCCAAGACAAAGAAGAATATTCTGGCAAGTCATAATCACTTTATTTTGCAAGTTGACACAATTTTGACATAAAGAGACTACATAGTTAAAAACTGAAGCTGCAACAAGCTGAAAGTAGAAAAATATACTGTATGTAGGTACAAAGGCTTGTTAAACTAGTTAACATTATAAAATGTACCAAAAGTTGTTTAAATAAGCACACCTGATGTGTTAACATGCATTGAATTCCTCCTTTGAACTCCAGCTAAGCAGTAATTTCTGATGCAGAAAGCTTCCTATCCCTATTGGCAGGGAGTCTGAGGAAATAAAACATCTTCCCTGACTGCCCCCAGTTCCTGGGAAACCTGGTTTACCTGAAGCAAGCCCTAATCGCAAGAGAGCTTGAAGCAAAATGAAAGTATTAAGATCTGCATTCAGACGAGGGGAAGTCATTTGAATTCCCTTATGCACAGGACCTTTGATTTGGGGGTGCTAAAGGAAATGTCACTGATGCTCCACTTCCCCAGTGCTGTTGAAATAACCTGGAGAGAAACACCTTGAGGTTCCTACCCTTGCTCAGATTCACAGTGATTGCTGTTAAGGGAATAGAAGCACTGAAGATTTCTTTCTTTTCCTTGAATTACATTTCCATGGCTTTCATCTCATACCTGAAGTTAAGCAGTACCACAGCAGCTGGGCTGTGCAGACAGCAGAAGAAAACCCACACTACTGTTCCTTTTAAAAACCCCAATCGTAGTATTTTTGAGTTCAATTGAAATCTGTTTCTCAAAGCACTTAAAAGCTGAGGCAGAAGCAGCACTGCTGGCAGGAAGATGTCTCAGGCAACACAAAAGTACTTGTCTGGGGGGAGGACCACTGAGACTTTAGACCTTGTCTGCATTTTTATTCCAGCTTAAGAGACTGCACATTGGGTGTCAGTTCTCAATGTAATTTTAATAAGCTTCACTCTTGCCTTCAACCATTTTTGTCTTCAAACTTTGAAGCTAAACTAATTTTAGCTCAAAATCAAGCGTAGTCTTTTCTACAAAGCATAACTGGGTTTTGGCAGTGAAAGTACTGTATTGATAATGTAGTAATTCAATGACACATTTCTATTTGAAGCTCACTTAGAGTGAAAACATTCAGGCAATGAAGAGTTTAGGTGAGACAGATCAGATACCTAAAAAACCCAAACCAACTGTACCATCCAGGTTTAAAAAGAGCAGCAACTAAATGCCACCAGTGTGAATTCATTAATCCAGCTGGCAGACTGTTGTATGATTTTGTACAACTGTTGTATGCAGTTGTTGACATCAGGCTTTAAAAGTCAGCTAAGAAAGTTCTTTAAAGACACTGGGACAGTGCATTGTAGTTGCAGAACACTTACTTCCTGCAAGATGCCACCTTGTTGTGAGTTAAAGCGCCCATTTTCTCAACAGGAATCGGAATGTCAGCGTATCCGTCAGATCCTGATTCTAGCAGAACACACTGAATTTTCTTGTCTTGCATAATTTGGTGCTTGTATGCTGTTGGAAGGCTGTACCCTGATTGAAGGAATAAAATCAAGAGCATGAAGGCTTCCACTTCCTTATCCACTCTTCCTACAGAAGATAAGCACCACTCTATACCCGTAGATACAAAAGGCCTCAGGCTCTCTTTAAACCTTTTGTGCAAATTAAATATTCAGAAAGAGTCTCCATCAGCATAAATCTGGCTTCCATCCTGCTCGATGCCATTCTGCAGAGGTCAGTCAGCTTGCGAAGCAGACCTGTCTTTCACTTGGCAAGCCAGGACAGCATCGTGAATACTGTGAAACAGCAACTCTCTCGTTACAGTGTTATCAAAAAAATTCAGTCTTGTCAGCTCATTCATAACAGCGCCTAAAACCAGAAACCAAACATGGCATCAGTGCGTAAAATAAAGTACAAAGATGGAAGACAGTGGTATCTTGGGAAGAAGACAACACTTTGTTCTCTGATTTGTTATTACTTAAAACATTTAAAATAGCCAGGTGGATCCCATGCTACTTCTACTCCAAACAGATACATACAGAGAGGCCTGTTCTTGGCCAAAGGTGATACAGTTCTAACTATCAGAAACTTGGAACATTGCAGGCTTTCCTCCTCATTAGATTCGTACAACAATTTCAAGATACAAAGTTTGGTGTGGCATTTACAATTTGCCAGCTGGAATAAATGGAAGCAGGATCTAGTCCTGATAGAATTGTGCTCTACTTTCACTAAAGTGAAGGCTTTAATGCATATGGGCTTGCTTTTCCTCAAATCCTTTGCTTATGTGATGTGCTGATACTACTGAGGCACCTGGCAGCAGAAAATTCGGGACCAGAGGGAAAGAAAGGAAATACACTGTCCCCCATAAAGTTCACAAAACCCCAACTCACCATTGCAGCTGGCAATACAGACACAGACACCAACTTCTTTGTATTCTTTTATAATCTGCAACAGAGTTAAACTGAAGTTAAACACAGGTATATCATTGTACACACTGGCATTCTGGGAGATGTAAGCCTATTACTGTGAAAGCTGTACAGTTTACCTTCCCCAGAATTCAGCTAGAACTTACAGAGCTACAGAATTAAATCCATGATTAGGTGAGATACTGGACTGTACTTGAGCTGGCATTTATGTCTCCTGCTGACAGGTTCCCTATTAGGTATCTCACAAGTTTTCTCTGGGTTTTTCTGGGGAAAAAAGCCCTACTTACTGATTTTAGTGTTTTTGCTCCAACTGAATCCACAAAGTTCACCGGGGCAAAATCCAGAATTAAAGAGTGGATGTTTGCTTTGGGCTCCACAAAATGTTCATGTTCATCAGGAGATGTGTCTTGTACGCTAGCATCTGCAGATGCAAATTTCCCATTTACAGGTAACTCATCATTTGCTATCTCATGTTTTACATTTGCTTCCACATCGTTAGTCTGAGAGAGAAGATAAATAATGTTTAATGACAGCCAATGCTTGTTCAGCGTAGATCCTCTTCCTCCCCATACTTGTCTGTTGCTTCCGCCTTTAAACGGTGTATAGCTCCTAACCATGACAGGCACTGGCTGTACATGCATGCATACTTCCGTATCTCACATACATCAAGGTTCATTCTCTTATGCCCAGCCTTTATACAATCATTTAAATAGCTTAAAGCTGTTATCTTAGGAGGGAATTACCCATTTCCTTCAAGCACTGACACCTGCTCATATGTTCTCACTCCATTTCCATGCCTTAACCCTGCTGATCCTGTCAAGGCCTATATATTCAAAAGAAGCAACAGCTACTGGGCTCTTAAGTTAGGCTTTTAGTAAAAAAAAAAAAAAAAAAGGTATAAAGCTCCCAGCATTGGGGTGAATTTAAACATGCATAACAGTACAAGCATGTTCCAAACAACCCTTCTCAATGTACCTGCCTCACTTAACCACGGCAGGATCAGCAGAGCCAACGGCAGGGGCTGCTAATTTTAATTGATTTCATTATATCCTATTTCTGCACGATTATTCCAAGTGTATGGGGAGGGACAGAGGCTGGGTCATGCCAGTTTCTGCTGACATCACTGATGAGTCAGTCTGACTTTATGGAAAGGCTCCCCTATATTCTACCTGCCTGTAATCAAGGTTCAACACAATCACCTGGTCCTGCCATGAACCCCTGATCCTCATGCTGTTCCCTCAGCAGCCTGTCCACACTGCAGAGTGCTTGCTCCTGAAGCCTTCCTACCTCAGCAGCACTCTGCACCTTGTTTATACAAGAACAGTAACAGCACGAAGCAGCATAGTAGCTGATAAAGCAGAGGTAAATATTTACCGAAGACTTGACCAATTTCAGTACAGCTTTCTTTTTGAGTTTATTTGCTGCCTTGATTTCCCTGGCATGCCTCTTCCGGGCTTTTTTCCTTGCTGCTAATATTGCACAAGGGTCCACTCCAGTCTGTCATGAAAAGAAAGCATGATCAGAGGAGATTCAGCTTGTTGGGATAACACTGCAGCATCAGTTAGCCCTGAATTAATCACTGTCATGAATTTAAAACACAAGCCTCCATTGTTCAGCCTCTCTTGGTGGGGGTGAGAAGGGTATCAAGTAAGAAGGAATAATCTTGGCAAGTGCTGTGTTAACAAGACGAAAAAGAGACGTATCACATTCTTTTCTTTAAATCAAAAAGTGCCATGTTTCAATGGAAGGCTGATTTGAGTGAAGAGAGCAAAGGGGAGAGAAGTGCTTCTGGCCATCAATCACTCTTGCTTTGTGAAGGTAAGTACCACCCACCTGGTTTACAGGACTCACCATGGGAGCTACAGAAAAATTGTTCAGAAGTTAGTATAGGTGCCAGGCCAGGCAGTTCTGCACTCAGCTAGTGCTGTTATTGCCATTCCCACCCAGTCAAACATCACTTAGGCAGCAGGCGAGGCATACTCTGTATGCAGGTCATTTGTTCCTCATGAGAGGCACTAAATGCCCACAATATTCCACAGCTCACACACTCCAATAAAGTTTATCACCCAAGAAGGAAGCTTTCACTCCCAGACATTTTGTTTTCAGTTTAGCAAACACTATTTTCCTCTAGAAAAAAAGACGCGTTTGACCAGTTTGTGCTCTGCAACCACTGCACTCTTCATTCACAAGCAGGCAGTATTAAGTTACAGTTTACTAGTTTATTCCCTCCCATCAAATTGTTGCTCTCTAAGATGACGTGCAGTTGGCTGGAGGGTCACCTTCTCATATCTTACTGATCACCAGGGGCCACAGGCTGAAAGATGTTCCAGAAACCAGTTTGAATTTTCAAGACATGGACATTAAAGAATTTGCTTGACTCACCTTTTTCTTCAGTGCACTTGTATACGACTCGCTATTGGCAAAATAAAGTGATGCATTAGCTTGAAATATTTTTATTCCAGGATATTCTTTTACCTAAGGAAAAGAATATTGGATGTGCATAGTTAAGTATTATCTGCACTAGAAGAAAAGCACCTGTGTGATCACAAGACACATGAATATGCAGCAACACAACAGCCAACCCAGAATGGCTATTGGCATGTGTCAAATAAAGAAGGTTGACTCTGTTGTGAGCAAAGCTGATCAGATCAGAGCCTCTCCCCTTCCTGGTGTAATACTGCACACAGTCGATGCCATGTAACATTTCTTCTTCTTTATAACAACAAAATGTACAGTCATAAAAAGGAATTTAATATTTGCAGTTCTCTGATGTTGCTATCTGCAGGTGGATTACCGTGAGGAAATCATGCAGATCTAGGAATACTTCCTTTCAGCCTCCCTTTCTACAAACATAATGACCTATTGCTCTCTTTCCCTCTTTCTCATTTCCTCAGCTACCAAAACCAGACCCTTTCAAATCTTTGGTTTTAAACAGGCCTTCAGATAGATAGGTCTCAATATCACTTCTTTCCTCTGCTTTCAATTAAGTCATCCTTAAACAGGCTGCACTCTTGGCATGTTACATGCAAATGACCAGGCCAGCAGCAGAGATCTAGCCTGCCATATGCTGCCAATTTGTCTTTATACAGGAGAAGGAAATGCTGACTGCAGTCAGAATAACAAAAATGGAGTTTCCTCTTTGCATACAGCTACAAATATGCCCACATATACTTCTGCTTTGTATCTTATTCAAAGCAAAACTGCTAGTGAGAATATTTTCAGCTTACAGCATCATCTTTTCACACAGGTTTTTATAGACTTAAAAACCTAGACTTCTACAGTCTAGGTTTTTAAAAGCCTAGACTTTACTAGGCTCCTCAGTAAAGGGAGCTGTAGCCTTAACAGCAGCACCTTTGAGAACACAGCAGAGTGCAGAAAATTGTAGTTTCCATTTGTGAATAAATACAGCATGTTTATATCCATTATATTGACAAAATATACTGCTTTCACCAACTTTTACTTGAACAAAATGGCGTTTATAAGAAGCTAAGTGCATGGCAAGCAATTGTGCCATTAATCATCTACATTCAATAAGCAGGGGATCGGTGGAGGCACGGAGATGCTGTTTCAAACAGCTGGTGGAATTCCAAAGAACATATCAGTTTGGATCCTGGGTTCCATGGATTTCATGCAATACTGTCACACAAGTAAAGAAGGTGGCCTTGTATGTACTCGTGTACATAGAAGGTTTAGTAGTGGTATTCCTACAAACCTGACCATTTTGTACAAGCTAGTACAATGGAAGTAGTATAAAGGTTACTGGTCAAACATACATGCAGTATCAAAGCCTAGCATTTTGAACAAAATACCTTTTACTACTAAAATAATGTTTATTTTCTTTTCCTTCAACACAGGTGAATGCTAGGCAGGCAACAATGTTATGAGCAGTATGGTAGGGCTAAGCAGCAAATTGCCACAGTCATCTTTGCTCTAGTACATAAAACTCTTCAATGCAGAAGAATGCACTCCTACCTCTTCATATTCTTCCACATTACAGTAGATGTCAGTGTCAGGAATCTGACCAAGGATTCTGTATTGAGGGCTAGAAAGAAATGGAAGCAAATGTTTCAGTAATACACTTACAAAGTGGAAAAGTGAGTGCTTGATACAGATTGAAACTTACTTTAATGGTCATTCTGCAGTGCCTGCCTGGTACAGGCTTATCTAAACACAGTAGGCAGTTTATGGCAGGAATATAATAAAGGGACAATTTGGTGACCAGACAAGTTTGCTTCTGCCAGTGCAAAGCCAATTTATAAACTTGGCACTATAGTGTTGTCATGTTCTGAAAAGCATGGGGCAAAGCATGAGAAGGTTCAGGGCAAGCTCTGTTTGGCAATAACTGGCACAACTACATCGACTACCTTGCAAAAATGGAAACTCATGCTGGTAGGAAACATGCTGCAATGTCAAAGAGCCACTCTGCTCCCAAGGACTATTCCTGAGCAGATGAATATTGCCAACTTACAAGCAATGTGACAGCAAAGTACATTATTGTTCTGTTTGCAAGAACAAGAATGTACAGAGATGGCAGAAAAATACTCTTATTTATGCAGAGGAAATCTTAGAATTTGGTTTCATTCCAACGCAGACTGAAACCAGGACTTTTATACAGAAAAAAAGAAGCCTCACATGACAGTCCTATCCACAAATGCAAGAAATCGTTTCACTGTAGACCTAGAAAGCTTCATAGAAAACTTCTGTCACTTGGAATGGGAAAGAGGAGAAATGATGTGAAAAACTAAAGGGCAGGCACAACTTTTTGATGAATTAGAACTTTCTTATAAAATAACTAAACATTCATCTAATGATAATATGACACAACTTCTGCTTGACCTTGACAATTAGTGCACAGAAATGTAATCATTTACTGAAACTGGCATCGAGCAGATTCAAAGTTCTGAACTCTAGGCATTAAAAACAAGTAAAGATAATTAATAAATAAAAGAAATCAGATTCTTATGTTTATCATTGGAATTGCAAGTTCATGTCCTCTAGAAATGTTGTTCTCAGAAAAATAAAATATGAACCCTGGATCAGGGCCACAAGAGCATGGCCTGTATTATGAGGCAGATTCTATACTGTATACAGTTGAAGGGAGTGGAATGGTCTTCTGTTGATTTGCACCCCTTAAACAAACAAAACCACACAGGAGATCAGCAAACACTAATTTTGATAAAGAAGAAATCTGACCTTTGTGTTCTGTAAATAACGGTTATCATCGCAAACGCTACTGCAGTAAGCAAACCATAGTCCAGTCCCAGGAAAAGAGAAGCCAGAAAAGCTACCACCCAGATGGCCTAAAACAAAGAAAAAGTCTGAATTATTACGTGTCCTTTGTGTGTCTGCAGCAAAAACAACAGCGTAATTCAGCCTCAAAACCTATGTATCAATTCTGTTCTGGAACACACTATAATGTAATCCATCATGATAGCAGACTGTAATTATGTTAACCTTTCAGAAGGGGTAAAAGCTCAAGGCACACTAACACAACATCTGACAAACCATCACAAATTAATTAATGCTTTAAGTCCTGTTCTCCAAGGAATCCTGTGTTACCATCAGACTCCAAATACCTTAGGATTAAAAAACACATATTCAAGGCCTGCAAGTAGCTCTCACTTAACTTCCTTCAGCCAGTTAATCCAGGAGAAAAATGCCACTGATATGTTCCCTCTGATACACTCTCAGTTCTGGCCCACTCCAGCCAGGTTTTTGGCGGATGGCAAATACCTTCAACCAGTTTTCTTTGTTGCTCTATTCTTCAAATTATTCCCAGACATTCCCACAGCCTTCAGCGCAGTTCCTATAGCAACACTGCAAATGCTTCGCTTTTACTGCAACCAAACTACTCTGACCTGAGTTAAAGGTTGCTGAAAAACCACCAAAACATTCTTGTTTGCAACAGATCACTCTCCTCGGGTACTTACAGCTCCATGTCTCACGCTCATCTGCAATGCAACACCGATTTGTAACTCTTTGATAAGTTTCAACTTGTTTGGGGGTCAGGAAGAAGAGGAGCAACAAATTTAATACAGTAAAATATATGCACTGAGCTGTGTATTACTCACCAACTCAATCCTACTGGTTCTCCAGAAGTGTGTGACATCTCCAAACTGTTTAAACATTCCTTTCAGGTTCACCATGACAATTGCAGCAAGCACTGTCTAAGAATATTGCACAAATGCAATTTTCAGAAGCAAAATAAACCCAATGCCAAGTAAGAACTTGAGAGCATTACAAATAGCTGTATTTCTGTGCTATGGGACAGAAGGAACTGGGGCTGTTTAGCCTGGAGAAAAGGAGACTCAGGGTGGACCTTTTCACTCTCTACAACTGGCTGAAAGGAGGTTGTAGTGAGGTGGGGGTCAGTCTCTTCTCCCAGGCAACAAGCAATAGAATGAGAGGAAATGGTCTCCAGTTGCACCAGAAGAGGTTTAGATTGGATATGAGGAAAACCAACTTCACTACAAGGGCTGCCAAGCACTGGCACAGGCTGCCAAGGGAAGTGGTCGAGCCACCATCCCTGGAGGTATTAAAATCAAATGCGTAGATGTGGCACTTAGGGATGAGGTTTACTGGTGGACTTGGCAGTGCTAGTTTTATGGTTGCACTTGATGATCCTAAAGGTCTTTTCCAACCTAAATGATTCTGAAGGGGAATTGTTTGAAGGTATCATTTTTATATTCTAAGGACAGAGCCCGGAATATCCAATATTAAAAACATCAACAAAAATCATGCTGGATCCTCCAAAATATTATTAATTTCTAGTCTAATTACAGCAAAAATGCATACAGAATTTAAAGGTTTCTGGACAAGGCCTGACTGTGTTGCTTACTGATCATCCCACAACCTCTGTTTTAGGCAATATTCACTGGCCTCTGTTCACTGACAATGCAATGCCTAACAGGCAAAACTGCCTTACCTGTGGAAGCGGTTCAAAAAGGTATCCAATAGCCACAATTACCAGCAGAACCATAATGGAGGAGAGAGTGCCTGCAATCTGAACAAAAGAAGACAGAAATTACTTCAAGTGCCCTCAAAGGGCAGTATTACTGATTAGCTTACCCCTCTCATGCTTTCCACAAGGCTGGTTGCTCAAATGACTTTTGATCCCTCCCACTCAGTTCACCCATTCTGGCTGTTGTGTGGCTTTCTCTCCTGGCCCAAATTTGAAACATGGGAAACTCCAGTCATTCCTTCTGGCCCAGGCAGAGAAATCTGGCAGTCTAGTGAAGCTTCAGATGCTAGCTTTGGAGCTCCAAAAAGCAAACTGGGTTTGGCTCAAAATTTGGGTTTACATACCTGTGTTTTCCCACCGGTGCTTTCCTGAACAAGACTCCGAGACATCGAGCAAGTGACTGAAAAGCTTTGGAAAAAAGATCCCACAGAGTTACATATTCCCAAGGCAATAAGTTCCTGTGTTAAACAATAAAGTAAAACAAAATCAGTTACACCGAGCAACTGTATAAAGCTGGAGCTACCCATACATATTAATAACAACATCTTATTTACAGTGCTTTTGAGCAATCTTATTGCAGAGAATAAGTAACCTGATTGTTGCTTATAATTGTGGTTCTCACACAATCACCAGCTGATACATGTTAAATCATCTGTTAAATAAAGTGTCTGATGAAGTGCCAGAGACATTTGCCATCTTTTAATGTTATGGTAATGAGTCAGATTGAAAACTAAAATGAATGACAGCATTGCTTGTTTCAAGGATTTCTTCAACTTTGGTATAACTTGAATTTCAATCCTGAATATACACGGAAAATGGTTTCTCATACCAACACTATTCTTTGCTTCCCACCCTAAACTATCTGGTTAGTACTATCAGAACCAAGAGCAGTGTTGGCTGTGTTTCCATGGATGATAATCCATTGCTGTACATGACAAAACCAATGTGTGTCCATTGTTTCATCAAGAAGATCCCTCACGAAAACTGTTATTGTGAGGGAGATCAGAGCTCCATCTACCTCAGTACTGTGTTTCTGATTTGTAAGAAAGTATTTGCTTGCAATGAGGCCTCCCAGATTACTCTACATCCTGCTATTTGTAACTGAGGTGATCTGAGTTACAGGTTCTTAATGGGTTTTTCTCTTTGCATTTGTACAGTCCTTTTTTTGTTTGCTTAAACACTCGGCATGCACTGCATGCTGTGACAAGGAGTTCTGTGGTTTAAGATCCAGCTGAAATAGCGTATGGCACTGAGGAAAAGATCTACAATGAACAACCATGCATATGTCCAAGTCTAACAGAATCAAGTTCCCCAAAATGAAGCTAAAAGTGAAATTGGCTATTAAAACACAGCCAGAAGAACTTAAAATAATTCCTCCCATTTAAATGTGTAGGCCATCAAAAATCTGACCTGATTCCACTGTGAAAGAAAAACTTACTTTTCACGGAATCATAGAATAGTTAGGGTTGGAAGGGACCTTAAGATCATTTAGTTCCAACCCCCCTGCCATGGGCAGGGACACCTCACACACGTTGTCCAATATCCCTTTCTATTTTAACAACATAATAAAGGTGCTTCTGAGAATTTCCAACAAAGCAATCCCAATACTTTACCTGATTCCCATTAATGGTGTAGCCATGTTTAAGGGCAAAGATTTTGGCCATCGATACAGCCATTGAAAATCCAACTATTGCTATTGCTATTGCATCCACAAATATTGATGGGATGAGCTGAATCTCGGGAACTGCTGGTGGACGTAACCTTGGAGATGAAATAATATTTACAAATTACTATAAGAAAAGCTACATGCCATACAGAAAAGGCACAGTTTCAGTAAGTATATATCATTCCTACCCTTGAGGAATATTCCCAACAACATCCACTTTGTATGACTCATTCAGATTCATTCCAGCTGAAACTCCTGTGCCAATGATTACCTAAAAATCCAAACACATTTGTAAACCTCAGCTAGAAAGAGAAAAAGCACCCTGAAGAACTAATAACAGCTAGCTGATTATGAATAATACACACAAGGAATTACATTTATTTGTCAATCAGTTTTCTAGGATTTAGGGGGTAAAGAAATAGACAAAAAGGAGAAAGTATGATGAGTTTCCCTCCACCATGTTCAACCCTCACTGGTTTTATGAAGTCTTCTTGGAAACAGCTGAATGGAACATGCTATGGTAGAATATGAATCACTCAAATTCCCTTGACCTGAGCCAAGCTCAAGCAAAATAGCGTATTGGAAACTGAATGCAAGGACAAAGCAAGGACATCTGCACTGCCATATTTTCATGTGCATAGCCAGCATGCTATCTGTGAACAGAACCAGTGCACCACCAGTGACTGTTTTGCTAGTGCCTTATCAAACAATACCCTGCTACACCACCTGCATCATCTCTCAACAGCATCCCTTTTCTTTGTTCCTTCTATCTAGATTGTACCCTTACCTTCAGTTATTCCCTTTCTTGGCTCTGACTTTGTGCAGGGTGTTTTGAGAGCTCTAGTTATCCAAAAACTCATTTTTAAATCCAACCACTTTTAAAGGTGGAAAGTAATCTGAGATGTGAGCTTTGTGTGCACTAAGATGGTCTGCTTTATCCATGTATTTTGGAGTAGTCGTTCAAAACAGAACCAATGCTGCAGTTAGTTATCAGTCTCAGAAACAGAGAAGGAAGGTTAAGTAGCAAGTCCAGTTAGCTCTACCACTGCATTTTAAAAAGCCAGCAAGCCCTGCGGAACCTCTGAAACAGGCATCTGTAAGCACCTTCCTCCAGAAGGGCGTTTTGAGCTCTTGGATTCCAATTGATAAATGCCATTCAAAGGTATGTCCCTCAGAGAATCATTCAGGTGCCCAAACTCCAGGACAGAGTGGGTTTTACAACAAATCTCTACCTATCCGTTGCCGTCAGGGATGGTGGGCGTTTGTCTGAGTTTTCAGTTCCTCTTTGGGACTTTACACCTAAAACTTGGGCACATCAGTCCATAATCTTATGAGTATCCAAACCTTCAACTGGATCAAGCCTCAAATTAATGATGTTCAACAGAAGTTACTCTAAAGCTCAACAGACTTGACAGAATATGAAATAGTTTCTATAGCTTTAGGTTAGTTATAAGATTTAGCTATAGAATTTCACAATGCCCTTACCACAATGATCTCCATAGGAATAGGAACTGGGAGCTGCTTTTTAAACCGGAGATTGATTTCCTTGCCAATAAACAGTAGAACAATGCATGTTAATCCAATAACCAATGCAGCTATGTTGGTCGTTGTTATATTTGAAAGCACAGCAGCTATGCTCTGCAACAAAACAGAAGTATCATAATTATTCCTAAAATAATATAATCTTCATGGAGATTTGTCACAGAAGAACAAGTTGTATACTGTTGTTATATTCTGCATTTATTACTACATGAATCAGTGCCTCACCAAAATCCCCACTGTTCCCTCAAAACCCAGAAGTTCAGAGTATTGCAGTGAGGGACATGCACTTGTCATCATTTACAGTATCTGTCTTCTTCAAATGGGGCAAAAAATTTGGAGAAAAGATTGTCACAGAAGTCTAAACTAAACCACATCTCTTGCTCTCAACATTTTCACACATACTTCGTCCTGGCAGCTACTTGAAAGCAATAAATGCAAACTTCTAATACCTTCTAGCATTCTTTAGCAAGTCACATCTACTTAAAGCCGCATAAAGCATTCTAAAATGACAACACTGCTGATAAAACCATTTAGGTTACCATACCAGTATGATTAAATAAGAATGATTTTGCACCACTGTTGACCTGGCCATTATGCCAAATATGGTTTAGTTGAAAAGACTATTAAAAGGGTGTTAGGAAAGAAATCTTGCTGGAACACAGAACTTGCTAGAGGGTAGATGTTTCCTCTACCAATTACTTCTCCTTCCACTGCATTTAAAATAAGTAAAAAGTAAATGACCTCTGGAGAGGTCTCTGAAAGAAGATGTAGATACCTTTCTTTAGACAGAAGGAAAGTTAGAGCAATTATCAGCATATCATACATTCAGTATGTCCCGACAGTACATTTCAAATGTATACCCTCCCTCCTATTTGTTTGGCAGTTAGTGTATCTGGTTTTTGGGTTAATGAACTAAACAGCAAATTAAGGAATTTATCATTAGTGTGGCCTTGTTTTCAAAATGTTTGTTATATCTGCACAAATATATAAGAAAGATCCCACAAAGTATTTTCTATAGCCTCCATGTGGTCGAAATCCTGAAGCCTTCATTATTGCTGAGCCATCAATCTGCTCAACAGCTTGAGTTTTTACAGATACCTGAGATTTTCCCTATTCTTCCACTCAGGAATTCCTGTCTGCAAAATCAAGGCATTGATTTTGTGGTAACAATTTTGGGGCTTTCTAAACTGGCGTTTTTGGTTTTACTTAAGTCATACTAACCAAATCATAGCTTTACACTGCATGGTTTTCCTTCTGTCTTCCAGAATCACTATGTGTTGGACAGAGTGGAAGATTAAGCTATGAGCTATGTCAAATAGTGAATCCCTCCATCAGTTTTAATGCTTAGGGTCTTCAGTAAGTACCAATGTTTTACAATGACTGTCCTTATTTCAAAACAGTTTTTCCCACTGTAAAGAACAGGTACATTTATGGTGACACAGCACATTGTGTCCAACTGCGCTACAAAACAGCTTACAGACAGGAAATGAAGAATATACCCATCAGGAATTGTGTTGAAATTAAAGAACTACAGACTGGGCAAGGTTCTGGCAGTAACATTTCCTAGCTTTGCAAAACATGTCTGGTCTGTAGTGAAGCACTTAGTAGCACATTTTCCCATGCTGTACCAGAGGCTTGCTTCAATGAATATTATCTGTTCATATTACAAAACTGCATTTAGCAGAATCCTAAAATCTGCCCCTCTTAGACCATGCTGATCTATCAAGTTGCACCCAAGCAGCAGTTTAAGATGCTCATATATTGCTATGCACTTAAAGACCTCATACAGAGTTTTGAACACTGAAGCATTATTCTACTCAATGCCATCATACTAATAATGCTACTATTAACAACAACAATAAAGAATAAAAATAGGAAAAGGCTTAAGTACTAGATCCAGACAATGCAGAATTTGCATGTTTAGTAAATGTAGTCACTCACATATACAACTGAGAGGAGTCCACTGTATCGGTTAGTCTTAATGCCAAATAAATATTTTAATTGGGAAGTGAAGACATGAACCGCAGCAGCAGTAGTAAATCCTCGTACTAGAGGCTCCGTTAAATATTTGGCTACAAATCCAAATCGAAGGAGACCTAAACACAACTAATGAAGAAGAGATATTAACCATTTGAATCCCACTGTAGCCTGAACATCAGCACTATGTAGCATACAGGCCACAGGACACTTCTTCCCTTGGTGCCCAAGCCAGGTCAGGCAAATCTGAACCTGGCCTTTCTAAAGCCACAGTTCAGTGAACAGTCATCAATGAATTAAATCTTCCATGCCACTGGCAGGTGCAGTGTGGGATATGAATAAATACATGTGTTTGCATTTATGGACAGATTAGAGAACATCAGGTCCAATTTGGACTTCTGCAAAGCGGTCAACACTGTCCTGCATGTCATCCTTGTCTCTAAGTTGGAGAGACATCAGTTTGATGGATGGACCACTCGGTGGATAAAGAACTGGCTGGATGGCCACACAAAAAGAGTTGTGGTCAATGGCTCAATGTCCAGCTGGAGACCAGTAACGAGTGGTGTCCCTCAGGGATCAGTGGTGGGACCGGTCTTGTTCAGCATCTTTGTCGCTGACATGGACAGTGGGATTGAGTGCGCCCTCAGCAAGTTTGCCGATGACACCAAGCTGTGTGGTTCAGTTGATACGCTGGAGGGAAGGAATGCCGTCCAGAGGGACCTTGACACGCTTGTGAGGTGGGCTGATTCCAACCTCATGAAGTTTAACCATGCCAAGTGCAAGGTCCTACACCTGAGTGGGAGCAATCCCAGACACAGCTACAGGCTGGGCAGAAAAGAGATCCAGAGCAGCCCTGCGGAGAAGGACTTGGGGGTGTTGGTCAATGAGAAACGTGAGCTAGCTTCAGTGTGTGCTCGCAGCCCAGAAAGCCAACCGTATCCTGGGCTGCATCAAAAGGAGCGTGACCAGCAGGTCGAAGGAGGTGATCCTGCCCCTCTACTCTGCTCTTGTGAGACCTCCCTTGGAGTACTGTGTACAGTTCTGGGGTCCTCAACATAAAAAGTACATGGAACTGTTAGAACAAATCCAGAGAAGGGCCATGAGGATGATCAGGGGACTGGAGCACCTCCCGTATGAAGACAGGCTGAGAAAGTTGGGACTGTTCAGCCTGGAGAAGAGAAGGTTCTGTGTGGAGACCTCATAGCAGCCTTCCAGTATCTGAAGGGGGCCTATAAGGATGCTGGGGATGGACTCTTATTTAGGGATTGTATTGATAGGACAAGTGGTAACGGGTTCAAACTTAAACAGGGGAAGTTTAGATTGGATATAAGGAACAAATTCTTTCCTGTTAGGGTGGTGAGGCACTGGAATGGGCTGTCCAGGGAAGTTGTGAATGCTCCATCCCTGGCAGTGTTTAAGGCCATGTCTGACAGAGCCTTAGGTGGCATGGCTTAATGTGAGGTGTCTCTGCCCATGGCAGGGGGGTTGGAACTAGATGATCTTAAGGTCCTTTCCAACCCTAACTATTCTATGATTCTATGAATGGGATATAAAACAATAAATTGGAGGAGGTCTCGTTTTTTCCAGTCAAGCCAAGATGCCAAAGACTTGACTTCAATGTATCCTTTGCCACTTCTGTTCTGTGGCTGCCATGAAACATCTTGTATTCTACACAGTGCAGCACTGAAGCACAAGTGTATTGACCGGGGATCCAACATGACCCGTTCTCCCTTGCAACGAAGTCTAGCAGCAGCACCTGAACTTGCCCTTACAGGAAACTGCAAGCACATACCTGGATGATTCCTGTAAGAAGGGCGAGAGTCACAGCAACCTGTACCCTCTTGGCATCCCTGTCATTGTAATATTCAGGGGTATCTGTAACATTAGTAGAATTATAGCCTATAGAAATCACTTCATCAGGCACTTCTCTCACAGCAACGCCTCCAACCATCATACTAATCACAGCAAAGGTGCCTGAAATCAGAGGGAGAAAAAAACAATCGGTTAAAATCCTGGCTTTTTTTCTTAGGGGTGGTTCTTATTAAGAGATATATGGAATTAAACTATAATAGTTTTCTACCTAAATATTCTATTTTTTAGTCCCCAAATCTGCTTCAGTGCTCAGCACCATTAAAGCTAATTAGATGGTGAACATACACTTCTACACTAAGTAAACACCATTACTTTTCTCTATCTCAGTTTCTATTACGGAAATTAAAGATTCATTTTGGCCACACAGACAGCAATGAAATCATAGTTCTGGTGTTCACAGCACACATTTCTAGATCTAATCCAATAAAAGATGGTCTTGTATTCCCTCCTAAGTAGGATGGATAAATTAACAATAAAAACTACTGCTAATGCTTGACACGTGCATTTCTTCACTTCAGTTGGAATTTATGAAAAATAACTACACTATTTCTCCATTTTTTACAACCTTATTAAACACACATGGAGTTCCAGTTATCCATACAGATATACCTATGGATATGTGCTTGGAGGTTCCAAAAATGGTATATAGAAAGACAGGATAAAATGAAGAATATAGGCCAAATACTGGAGGAACAGCTGCCAGCATAGCATAGGCTAAACCTAGAAAAGAAACAAAAATATGTATGTCAGGCAAACAACAGAAAGAAACCATCTGAAGCAAAAGGATTTATGAACTCACCTAACAGGAAATCTAGTGAGATATCACAGGTTTAAAAACCAAAAGACCTTGCAGGCAATACTCTTTGATATGTGTAATACTGTAGGGCAGTTCCTAAAACCTGATGGTTTGAGTCAGGAAGGCAGAAGTCTCTAACTACAGGCACTGCAGGTGTGTGCATGTGTGTTTGTCTGTACATCTGTGCATCTGTGTATTCACTGGTTTTTGTCTTAATAGCCAGCAAACACTTCCTGTTGCTTTTGGTTTCATCTGTCAAAGACTGTCACTAAAAACATCCAAAACCCCGTAGCCAGTGGGACACGTTTTATTTTTCTCCTTTTCTCATCAGACATGCTGCATGGTAACCTAGCTTATACAGTCTGGTAAACTTCACAAGAAATGAAGTCCTTTTTGTTATTAAGCCCTGTCCAGTTCCACACAGTGGAACTGCGATCCATACCAGTCCTATTAGTAAGGGGACTTGAAACCACAGTGATGGAGTTGTAGGGGAACAGCTCTAAGGGACTCAGGGGAGGGACAGCTCCCACAGTACTCCCCCTCTATGTTACCCCGCAGGTGCTTATCATGTAACAGGCTCACAAGCAAATTGTGTGCACAACTGTCCCGAGCAGTTCCAGCAAAATCAAAAGTTCTACATGGCTTGTGTTAATGAGAATTAGACACCAGAACAGAACAAATGGGCCTTGAGAAGGAAATGCTGTATTCTGCTTTGGTTCACTGATACATCTTCACAGATAAAGACTCACGACACCTGAGGAAGCTGTGTGTTCTTACCACGCTTGGGAAGACTGGTCCAAGTTAAGACAGAAAACCTTAACTAGTCCAGTGCAAATTACAAAAGGAAGCAATGGTTCACCCACCATGGAGAACCAGTTATACTCAAAACCACCCCTCCCTATCAATTTATTTTTAAATTGAAAGACAAAGGTTACAATGAAGGAACAAAACCAGGACGGGATCTTCTGTGTGTCATCCAAGCAGTCTTGCACAGTGTAATAGTTCACACAGCCTTGCTCATGCCCTAAGCAACGTCTGAATCCTAACCAAGAATTCACATTCCTATCAGAAGTGGATTGCTGATATTATTCTCTTGCAGCAATGAGCTTTCATTAAGTATTTCTGAAACTCATCCCAGCTATATTCTCTGTCCCAGGGGCTACCTCTCATGCCAAGAATATCAGAACACCCTGTACTATAACAGTCAGGCCTTTAACATGGTGACGAATGTAACACTGCAAGTGACCAGAACTGAAAACCAGTGGTTTCAAAACCTGGAGGGTGTGAACCATGTGAAGTTCCCGATCTGAATACCCTTTTATTCCTTCTGCTGTCAGTGCCAAGGAAATAAAGAGATATTGACATGACAGGAGTTCATGGTTTAAACACCCTGGTCATTGTTCTGTCTGGAATGATTCCCAGGCTTCTTTGAACTTCGGCTTGCTATAATTAACATCCATTGCAAAAAATAAAAGTTCAACTTTTGTCTTTTTAGAAAGGAAAAGATTAGGAGCAGTTTAAGCGCACGTCTGCTGTCACTAAAGGAAAGAATAATGTTTAGTTTAAAACAAAGTCACAAAATTAAGTATAAAGTTCAGTGCTGACCACTTAACTTCAGCACCCTTATCTGGTCATCACACAATATACAGCCAGTAATTCGTGTGTCTAGTATATGACTGTTTTACCTGAGAGTTAACCACATTACTTACGCACAAACCAGGGAGCTGCAGAAATAAACAGCACAGACTAAGTCAGGACATTCCATAGCTTTCATAGCCTATTAAAATCTAGGCTTCTTGGATTTACGGATTAATTCTTCAGACCTGCCTCAGCCTGAAGTTGAACAAGTAAGGTAGAAATACAAAATAAGCCAAAATGCAAGAAAACTTACGTATACTTAACTACATTGCCCTTAACGTGAAGGCTCCTCTAGATGAGACTCAGCACAAGTTCAAGAATTCCCTCTACTCCCAAGATTTTCTGGGGAAATCTACTGGGACTGTGGCAGCTGTTATGAAGCTGCTGTTCCCAGAGCAGTGATGGTACCGCATAATGATACTGCTGTAAAAATGCTGTCACTTTCTAATCCCATAGCAGTTCTTTAACTGCTGATAGTAAGGTGTCAGGCTGAACAAAAGATTGCCAGCAAGACCTGGACAAAACAGTGAACACTGGCTTTCTCTTCCACGGAGCCTACTCCTGTTTCAGGGCCAGGCTCCACTTGAGGTCAAACTCCCAAGTAATTTACCAGAAATTCTACAGATTTGCAGTCCTGTTATGTAAGATACTTTTGATTTATTTCCACGATGTAAATCATTACCCACTATTATGGTTCCAGCTTAAATTGGTGACTTCTAGCCTTAAGAGAAAAAGAGGGATCAGTCTCTGATTTTGCACATTGTTCTCTGGTTAAATTTAGTTTGGTTACTTTGCAACAGTTGCTCTGCTGAAACATTATGTCTATATGTCTATCAGATAGTGCTACCTTCTGCAGATTTCCTATAAGTTTCAGGATGATGAGATCAGAAAATAATTGGGTGCATTCAGCAAAAGTTCAGACATGCACTTAAACTGTGAAAATTTGTTCTGTCATCAAGAGTTGTAGATATTGATCAGAGAGGTAAGCTTCTTTCACAGTTTGCAGTGTATCATTGACGTTCTAAGGGAATCATCACTATGGGCTGGTGTGAGGAATGCTGCACTGATCTACACACACACACCTGAAATACACATCCTATCCTCACAAGCAGGAAGCCAAGCACTTCTATAAAAGCACACCCAGAAAAAGCACAGAAGGGATAAATACATCTAGAGAAACACTCACCTTGAGGAAGCTGCATAACCCCAGTGCTTATACCTGAGATAATGTCTCCTAACAAGTATTCCCTTACTCGGTAATGGGGAAGCCATTTTAAAATTGGTAAGAAACTGTAAAGATGAGACTTGGCTTTCTTAGAAGAACAACTGAAAATACAAAGCAGAAAGAAAAAGTTAGACACTAGCAAGGGACAAATGGGTTGAAAAAATTGTCTTTCTTCTGTATGCAGGAAAAAAGCTCCATTAAAGGCAGGCTCAGACCCCTGATGACAATTTCTGGACAAAGCTCAAGCACAAACAACTAAGACTCCAGTTAATTTAGCCCTTCATCATATGTTGGTTGCTGTTCACAATCCTTATGGAACTGGAGAAGAGAATCACAGTCTTGCGAGGCTGAAGGTCACTGGGAAGTTAACTGTTCAAGTCCATACACAACTGAGCAGTCACATAATGGTTTTTGCTGAGAACATTGCTAGTACCAATCCCCTGAGGATAACTTGCTTTCTGACAGCAGTTTTCACTCAAAGTACAATTTTTTTTTCCTATTTTTACTTATTATTTGCACGCTTTATACTTGATTATAACATTTTATATATTATGCTCAAAAAAAAAAGCCAAACTATTATGTTACTAATGTTTGTTACTATCACTGCTACTGATAGCCTAACTTTTAGGCTATTTGAGAACATAACCTTTCTTTACCCTGAAAGGAAAGCCACTAGAGCCAGCAACACTGATCCTTGTGTCTCTTAGCAAAGTTGCTAAGCTTTTAAAACTCTGACTCATGACAAATGAACAGAGCCAGGAAACAAATATCTCTATCCAGTATTGCCATGCACCATATTTTGATTGTGCTGTGGTAGGAAAGTTTAACCTTAGGTAAAAATGTGACACTACGATCATATAAATGTTTTTCTGTGTAGGGGAACTACAAGAGAACTGCAGAGATTTGTTAACATTTCTGAATTCTCATGGGACTACATTGCACAGTGAGGAAGCTTATTGCTACAAGTGAGAGAGAAATTAGTCATCCACGCTTCTCCATGTTCAAGCAGACTGAATCACAAGAAGTCATAGCTCAGGAGGATTTTGATCCACATATTTTTTCATTCAGGACATATAAGTTATTTGAGATGGAATTAGGTGCCATTACCATTAGAATGGTCATTCTGTTAACCAAAACAAATCTCCAAATGTTGGATCATGGGAACAGGAATATTTTACAGACAAGCAGTCAGGCAGAAATAATTTGTTGTCTTGCAGAACAAGGCTCTAGCAAGGAACTGAATCAACTCTGCAAATGAAGCACGGATAAATGGAATGCTAATGTGAACTTAACTAGAGTAAGTTCCTCTTCACTATCCTCTGGTACTGCAGAACAAGAGTTGTGCAGTTACAGCAATTTCCTGTCTAATCAGAGGATACTTTGATTCCAAAGCAGAATACCTCTATTAGGTCCTTATTAGACTAATAAATTAGATTTCTACACAGATGTCATATATTTCCACTCATCTTCCACGAAAGGAATGTGTGAAGCACAAGTTTGGCTCTAAGTATTTCTACTTAAAAAGGACAGACATTTTTCTGGGCCTTATGAATTCATGTCATGTGATTTGACTAATAATTCACATTCCTATGCTGCATATTTTCCTTTCTACTTTGATGAAGACAGTTCAATTAATTTATCCAGCATTTTGTAATATAGTTATATATTAACATATAAAAACACACATACAACTTCATCGCAGTCTTACTGAATAATCAAAGTAGAACTATTGCTATTATTTCTTTGAAGAGACTATAAGTTGTGCATTAATCAATTAAGAATTAGAATATTTCTAACCAATAAAATAAAGACAAAACCCCTACCGACAAGAATGTGCAATCTTCTGCCTGAAAGTCTGAGGTGCTCTTTCTCGTCTGTGCAGCTGTCCTTCCAAGAGCTTTTGGTTATATATTGGTCTCTCCACACAGTACTTCTGGGTTTGCTCAACACATACTTCATCTACTTCAGCATGTTCCATAGTTGATCTCTCAGAACAGGAGGCAATGAAGAACAGTTCCACTATTGCCACTGAAAAATCTGGTTGCAGACAAAATAAGTTTAGTTACTTTTTTAACCTCAGATTTGGCATTTCCTTTCAAAGAATGTATTTTAACAAGCTAGAGGCAAGAACTGTGAATGCAATTTAAAAGCACTAATTAAAGAGGCTGTAACAGGGGTGAGTAAACCATACTCCCAAACCTTACTATATGAAAGCCACTCATTTATGTTTCTCTGAGGTAAAGAAAGCTTTTGTATTAATTACTCTGTAAACAGCTGCAAAAGCAAAATTGGAAGGTTACATTCATGCTTGTCTGAATACTCCCCTACTCAGTTTGTAAAGAAAATGTCAGTGTCAAAGGGAGATTACTTTATTGCTGAGTTACTTCCTGCTTACTCCCAAACTGTCACGTCCACCTCCAAAAGGCAGAACTCCAATTTTAACACTGAGAAAGCCACTTTTTTATTTCAGATAATCAAGTGCTTCCTGCATCCATCCACCTGCTTTCTCCTCTGTTTCAGAGGCTTCTGTTTCCAAGAATGCACAATTCACTACTTTCAAAAAGTTACTCTTTCAATGGCTATGCCACTTGCTGTTAATTCTCACTCCTGCACCCACTAAAACAGGAGTCAGCAGATGTACACCATTTTAAAACTAGCCAGAAGGTTTGTAAACATCTATTAGTCTGTTTGATTCAGCACCATAAACATCTTAACATGTTTAGGAGATACTCTGTTAATTCCTTTGCCCCGTGTTGGCTGCTTCTAGAAATATGGAGAAAGAAACATAACTCAAAATAATGAGCAAAATGACAGGACTGCTACATTGCTAAGCAGAGCTGCTGGCTAGCACTATATCTGATGACAGAACGTGAGCGCAATGGGCAACAGAGCCATAATTGTGAACAAGGCCCTTGGGCTCAAGTCCAGCAAGTTACTTAAGCATGTGTTTGCCTTCAACCAAAGGTGTTTAGTTTTTAGCTGTACATAAATACTTTCCTAGAAAAGGGTCAGCATGCAAACTGCTACCAAAACACTCAGACAAAGCTAAGCACGATTGGTTCAATGTTCTGATTCAGCAAATACAGTCTGCTGGACAGCAAATACCAATATTGCTACTTAAAAGTGGTGCTGGAATCTTCCACTCAGGGCTCATGTTCTCTGTCTCCCAGGACAGACATAGCTCTTCAGTTCTCACTCTTTTGTAAGCAACATTTTCCTGATACAGTTAGTGACTAAAGGATATTTTTATCAAAATTAGAGTTTTTATTTAAACAAAATTCAAGATTTACTTCAGCTTTATCATGTGAAATAAAGTGTCTACAATTTGCAAGCACAGTATCATACTAATAGTACTATCAGAGCTTGTTACTTTTGTACTCCTGAAACACATCTGAAGCTTCTTTTACATCTTTCCATAGTTTCAATTCACTGAGAAGCCCAAATGGTATTTTGTGAACTGTTTTCTTGTGTTATTGTTTAGCGAATTGTAACTCTCAGCATTACAATTTTTCACCCTGCCTGCAGATTCTGATTCCCATCTGAGCAGCCCTCTGGCTTTATAGCAATGCCATTGACATGAAGACTTATGTTTGACCACTTTTGTTCCATGTCAGTGTCTACCTACCCACAAATACCACTTCCTACCTCACATCTTGCTTTGTCACAGACAGTGAGGTACCCACAAATCCTAATGTATTAACCTCTCCCCACTGAAACTGCATCTTTAACCACCCCAATATCTCCTGGAGGGGCAACACAGCAGGGCACAAGCAATCCAGGAGCCTTCTGAGGTGCAGTGACAAGAGCTTCCTGCCATAGGTGATGGAGATCCAACAAGGAGACATGCTCTGCTGGACCTGATACTTATAAACAAGGAAGAACTAGTAGGAAATACAAAGTCTGGGAGCAGTCTTGGCTGCAGTGACCAAGAGATGGTAGAGCTCAGGATCCTAAGAGAAACAAGATATATAGCAGTCTTACAACCTCAGACTTCAGGAGAACAGACTGGCCTGCTAAAGGACCTGCTTAGAAGAATCCCATGGGATATGGTGCTGAAGAACCCTGGAAATGATTTTCAAACATGTTAAGGACAAAAAGGTGATTGAGAGTAGTCAGCATGGATTTATGAAGGAAAAAATCCATTGACTTGATGAACTGATGCCTCATTGACTTGATAACCTTTTATGATAAGATGATGGGTTTGGTGGAAAAGGAAACATCAATGACATTCTTTATTTTGTATTTTTCAAAGCTTTGTAAGGCTTTTTTTGATGCACCAGATGGTTATGTTGTCATTCAGAAGTACCTTGACAGGCTGGAGATACAAGCAGGCAGAAGCCTCATGAAGTTCAACACAAGGAAACAGAAACTCCTGCACTGAGAAGAAATAGCCCCATGCAACAGTAAATGCTGGGAATTCAATCGTATGGAAAGTGGCTGTGCAGGAAAAGATCTGTGAGTCCTGGTTGGCAAAAAACCTGAATATAAACCAGCAATGTGTCCTTCTGGCAAACAAGGCCAGCAGCATCCTTGGCTACATTACACAGAGTATAGCCAGCAGGCTCGGGAGGTGATTCTTCCCCTGTCCTCAGCACTGATAAGCCACAGATGGGAGTGTTGGGTTCAGTTCTTGGCTACCCAGTGCAAGAAAGACATGGGCATCCTGGAGAGGATCTAGCAAAGAGCCACAAAGATGGTTAAGATATTGGAAGATTGTATCAATGGATTTAAATACCTGATGCAGTAGGGAGTAAATAAGCAATGGGCACAAAGTGAAATACAAGAAATTCTGTTGAAACATAAGGAATAAATATATGGCAAGCATGATCAAACAGTGGAACAGGTTGCCCACAGATGTTGTGGAGTTTCTCTCCTGGGAGATATTAATAACCTGACTGAGAATCATTCTGAATATTAAGCTGTAGATAATACAATGAAAATGAAAGTCTTCAGTATCACCCATCTCGTTTGCAAAAGCACACATAGAGCAAGGAATGAGATGCTTGTGTTAACAATGGATCATACACACTGTTCATAGAGTAGCAGAATAGCCGCATTTTGTGACTGGCTGAAGTGTCCCTCTAAGCGTTTGATGAATAGCAGTGTCGCAAACTGCCAACAAAGATATCCAAGGCTTGGAAATTCAGCCTTGCCCTTCACTTCCAGTATGCTTGAGGAAGAGCAAAAGCAGGTACAGCAATTTTCATGAAAACAAAGCTTACTACTATGATTTCTGAAAACTCCCAGACTTTTATCCAAAAGCAAAAGGCAGTCTCTGGGCATCTGTGTCTTAATAGTGGAATATTGCTCTCAGACAACCTTTGAACTTCATGGCAAGAAAAAAAAGAAAAAGCCGTGAGAAATAGTGCTATTAATCTTATCAGCCAGATAAGAGTTGAGCTGAAGCAGTTAAAAGTTGTATGCAAAAGACTTAAAGAATTGCCAACTCTTATCTGACTGATAAAGCCCTGTCTTATGTTATTATCAAATTGAAGGTGTTAAAAAAAGTGAAGCAAACACCAACTCATAACACTATCACTAATTATTAAGTACTTTCTCTTCCCAATCTTAGATAATAAAGGAGGGCTGTCAAGCTATCTACACCGATTCTTGTGGAGGACAATAAAGTTTGATCCAGTCCACATGAATTAGAATGCAGCCATAAAATTTATAAGGACCATGATTTGGCTGCTGTTCCTTCGATTCAAGATGACTATGGGGAGGAAAGAAAAAAAAAAAAGATGGAGATGAAGAAGAATCCCATCTGACTCTTATAGCTTTAATAGGCTTCTCGTTACAAAATGGGGCACTATTGCTCCTAACCTTGTATATCTAACCTGAATGTATCTGAACTACCTAATGTAACAGGGAGAGTCAGTAGCAAATCCATTGACTTGCCTGTTTTAAAGGAGCAGAAAACCCTTCTTCTGGTAACTAAGCATGGAGTGGCTTTGTTGCTTTAAGTAGTAGAAAAGCATGGGTGGACAGTACTAGTACAGTGGTATAGTAAAAAACTGCATCCATGCTGGGGAATTTCATGTCTGACCATGAACTACAAAATTTATAAAGTATATTGTTTCCTTAAGCTTCCAAATAAGAGTGACTGCCAGCACCCAAAGGGCTGGTAGAAAAACTGCTCCTCTATGTAAAGTATGTTCTCCCAAATGTACACTGAAAAGCAGAGTCAGGGCAAGGTCTGTTCCCACTGTCCTCAGAGATCAGACGCAAAAACCGAGGCAATTTTAGGAACCATGTGTTCTCTCAGTTCTTTCTCTCCTCTCTGGCCTCATTCCCCAGTGCCCTATGCTCTGCCACTTATCACACTGATTTATATAATATTTGACCAAGCCAGAATCGATTTTTTCTTTTTTTTTTTCTTACAAACACAAAGATGTAAAATGACTGGGTGGAGTTAGAAGGAATGTGTTTTCTTAGTTTTCCTGCACTGTCCTTATCACCCTCATTCCTCCTCCCACTAAATACACTAATGAATAGATTGTTTAGACCTGTAGCCTTCATGTAAAGTTTCATAAATGGAGAAATAATTTGTGAAGCAAACAGAATTTTCCTTGTGTAGGTCCTAAGCTAAGAAATGCATTCCAGGAATGAACCTTTAGGGAAAAAAAAAAACATTAAAAAAATCAGGACCTTGAATTCCTATACAGCTTCTGGACAGGCAATATTCCCACTCTGCTCCACACAGAAAGGTGAGATGGCTACATAAACTGTGTTGGGTTGCATGATAAAAGCTCCACTGCACACCCACTGGGTTACTTAGAGGGACAATGGCAGGGCAGAGAGCCTATGTAACATCCTGCTGGGCAACTCCCAGGTCTACCACAGGAGCCATGAGCCCATCAGGCTCATCTCCAGCAGTCCAAACCAGCACAGTAGGGTCACCTATGGGACCATAGGAGTCCCTGCCAGCTCTGGATGGAAGAACATCTCTGTACCTAGGAGCACGGGGAGGCAGCTATTGGCACCCAGGAAATCCTGGCCAGCCACGTGTGTACATGTGACGGTCTGTACCAACAACT